CCTAAAAGACTGACTTAGGCGTATCACAGGAGGCGGATGATGCCAACTTAAATAACGCATACGCCTGATTATTTTCTGACTTGGGCACCTGACTTAGATGAAATTCGTCAAGTGTCCCGGCCTCGTCTTTGACCGCCTGTAGATGTTTGATCATAGCCGGATGGGTGGCCTCATAGTCACCATGGTATTGGCTAACGATCAACTGAGAATCAGAGCAGGCGTCAACTTTTCTTTCCCCTGCCGCCTTACACATACTGGCTAGCAGGGCCTCATACTCCGCCTCATTATTTGAGGCTTGGAACTTGAACCGTAGTGCATATTCATACTTGTCCCCTTCCGGAGACTTGGAAATTACGCCTGCACCACAGCCGTTCATAGTAGAGCTCCCATCTACATATACCTTCCAGACCTGATCAACATTGTCCGGCTGAGCCGACCTTGTCATTTCTACAATAAAGTCAGCGAACGCCTAACCCTTCATTGCCTTTCTAGGTTCAAAGGTTATTTCCAAACTTTGCATTTCAATAGCCTATTTGAGCATTCTGCCCGATGACTCTAAGGTTGTCATTGGCTGCTTGAGGGGTTGGTCTGTGTAGACCACCACCGGATGTGCCAGGGAGTATGGTTTCAACTTCTTGATTGCCATGAAAAGAGCAAGGCTAAAATTTTCAACAAAGGGGTACCGCAGCTCAGTATTCCGAAGAACATGGCTAATGAAATAGACCGGGAGCTGAATGACGTCTCTCTCAGCTAGGAGAACGGCGTTGAGGGCATGATCTGAGACGGCCAAATACATGTGGAGAACCTCTCCTGCTAGAGGGCTAACCAGTCGTGGCAATGAGTGGAGGTGCTCTTTCAATTTTTGGAATGCCGCCTCCGCATTTTCCCCCTATTCAAATCTAGTCTTCTTTTTTATTCCTTGGAAGAAGTAGAGGCACTTGTCACCGGCCTGGCTGAGGAATCTCTCCAATGCCGCCAGACAACCGGTAAGTTTTTGAACTTCCTTGACAGTGCGGGGTGACTTCATGTCAATTACCACCTGTACCTTTTTCGGGTTGGCCTCTATCCCTCTTTGATCAATCAAACATCTGAGAAACTTCCCAGACTCAACACCAAGCACACACTTCTTGGGATTAAGCATGACCTTGTGCCGCCTGAGGGTGTTGAATGTTTCTCGGAGGCAGCAAGGTGATCCGTCTGTAGCTTAGATTTGACTATCATGTCATCAATGTACGCCTACACATTCCTCACAAGGGTATCTAATGGAAGCCTGAATAGGCGTCCATTAAGCTCATCAAGGCATGACCGACTGTAGAGTCAACCAGACTGTCGATCTTAGGCAGTGGATAGCTATCCTTCGGACATGCCTTGTTCAGTTCTGTGTAATTAACACACATCTGCCAGGTACAACGTTTACTACCCAATCCGGGTAGTAGCATTGTCGAATGAACCTGGCATCCATCAGCTTCTTGACCTCGGCGGCTGCCGCCTGAGATCTTTCCTCGCCGTGATTCCTCTTCTTTTGCCTAACCGACTTCTTTTTTGGATCTATGGCAAGTTTGTGGACAGCAAGATCCGGGCTGACGCCTGACATCTCTTCCACTTCAAAGGCAAAAATGTCTTTGAATTCTTTCAACAGTTGGTGCAAATCTGCGCCCAACTTGGCAAAAGCAACCGTCCCCACTATAACGATTCGTTCCGGACGGCTGTCATCTAGAATAATGTCAATATTTTCACCAGCCGGCTAGGGACGGAGATTATCTGATAATTCCCCGATCAGTGATTGCTATTGCTTCTCTTTTTTGACGGCCACCAGGTGGTCCGCGTTTCTCTTTCTGTCGGCTGCTTTGGGAGCAGGCGCGGCTTCCTTGAAGTCATCAAGGTCAACAAGCTCCTCGCCTTAGCCGGCTACGGCCACAGTAGGCTTGACGTCTGAGAGATAGCACTCCCTTGTCGTCTTCTGATCCCTATTCAAGGAACCCACTGACCCATCATCTCTCTCAAATTTGATCAGCATGAGGGATGGGATGATGACTGCCTTGGACTCGTTGGACGACCCAAAATCAGATTATAGGAGGTCAATTCCTCGACCACCAAGAACTTGACGACCATGTGCCGTCCCTCCCCCTTTCTCCTAGCCGGATGGGTAGGTCAATCCTCCCCACCGGATGCACTACCCCTCCCCCAAAGCCAACTAAGGGGTGAGAGACTTTGTGCATGCTACTAGGCTTGTACTTGAGCTTCGCCAAGCACCGATAGCTGATAAGCTCAGACGAGCTCCCGGTATCAATGAGGATCTGGTGCACTCGTTGGTTGGCAACCTTACACTCGATGACTATGGGGTCATCATGAGGCCGCCTGACCTTGCCCCGTTCCTTCTCAGAGATGATGATCTCAGGGAAGGTGTCTTTCGACGCCTGGCCCTCATCCACTGAGTTGACCTCTAGCTTTCTGATGTTGTCCTTGGTGCCCCGGATGGTAGGACCCCCTCCCGCGAAACCGCCTGCTATAGTAAAGATTTGCTCTTCATTAGTGTCAGAGCGTATAGCAAGGTTGTCAGGCTTCTTGGACGGCTGTCCACTGTTTGTTCTGGGGTTACCCTTGGATTTCAGGATATAGGACTTCAAAGCCCCCTCATCTGCCAGACGGTCCAGTAACCGCCTGAGGCTATAGCAGCCATTGGTATCATGACCTATATCCTCATGGAAATGACAGTACTTGCTCTTGTCCCGGCTTTTGATGGGGCTTTTCATTGCAGCCGGTTTCTCAATAGTCAACCGGTCTTTAATCTCCATGAGGATGGAAGAACAGTCCTTGTTGAATTCGTACTTGGGGACGTACCACTTCAACTCTTTCTTTTTCTTCTAGGATGGCTGACCAGAATGATCAGCCACCCAGACTTCTTTTCTTTTCTTGCTCTGTTCTTTTTTGGCCGGCTGAGCTAACCGACTCTCTTTTTTGTTGGACTTTTTAGGGTCCGACGACTGCTTGATGGCACAAAGCTCCGTCGCCTGTATATAGGCTTCGGCTTCCATCAGAGCTTCTTGGAGGGTAGCCACCCTCTTTCTGACTAAGTCGAATTTGAAAGTCGATTCATCTTTCAGACCCTTAAAGAAGTCTGTGTAGGCAACTTTGTCAGACAACCCTTGAATATGAATTCTCATCAGATTGAACCGCCTGACATAGGACCTTATCCCTTCTCTATCTCCCTGCCGAATGACTCCCAAGTTAAGACTTGTCTTTTTGGCTGGGATGTTCATAGAGAAGTTGGACGCGAACAGGTATGCCAGCGTCTTGAAGTTGTTGATGCACCCGGCTGGCAGATTTCCAAACCATCGTTGGGCTATGCCCTTCAATGTAGCCGGGAAGCATCGACACCATGCGGCGTCATCCAACCCCTGTAAGTACATGAGGTTGGTATAAGCCATTAGGTGGTCTTCCGGGTGGTGGTACCGTCATAGGTACCAACCAACATGTTCTTAACCTTGGCCGGCTGAGCCGCCTCGGTTATCTCCCTGGAGAACGCCGACGGCTGTTCCCCAAGGTTTAGCAGCCGTAGCTGCCAGTCCATGGGCTGGACATTTTGTGCCGCCTGACCCCCAAAGAGGGCCGACTGCAAGTATGGTGATCCATACGGCATGTATGGCTATTGGGGCACGTACAGAGCCTGCTGGATAATCTAAGGGCCAATACGTGCGGACATGCCGCGTGACTGATTCTCTCGGCTTGTTTCCGAATACTTCATTGAAGTATTCTGGAAATTGTCTGGGTAAGTCGACGTTGAGGCCGACTCAGACAATTGCTGACTTCTTTTCTGCTGGATTAACGTCCGGGCATCTGAGTAAGTCCTTTTTGATCCATCCGGCTGAACTTGCCAGATGGCCTTCCTTTTCCCTGATTCAAGAAAACGGAGTTTTGACAGGTCGATCATGGGCCCGTCCGCCCCCTTTGGTTTAGGATGAGGAGAAGGCACACGATCTTTCACGTGCTTCTTCCTAGAGGGAGAAGGCTTCTTGGCCGACTGACCCTTGTTGGTGCCAGTTGACTTGTTTATCAGGTCCTTGATTTCCCCTTTGAAACACGTCATGAATTTCATGAGTTCGTCTCTTGTAACGGGGGAAGCACCCTCTGCCGCCTTGGGTGTCCCAGCCGGCTTAACGGTTAGGCTGCTTGGACCAGCTAGGTCTCCGCCCCGTTCCCTTGTTTCCTTGGAACGGGTGCGTCTTGTTCTGAATGACCCGTCTGGGGCCACATAGGTGTCGACCTCAAGGTCGTCACCACTGTCTTGGTCCATGTGGACCTCAGCTTCGGCCGTAGACCGTTTGCCTTCAGTAGGCGGTACAGACTCTTTGGATGCCATCTTAGAATTACTCTCCCCACAAACGGCGCCAAATGTTTCGGGGTTTTTGGAGTCCCTCGGAAGAGTTACAATTCCAAGAATGAGCGTCGACCGTTTGTACCTGCAAAACCACGGAAATTCCGGTTGGGTGGAGTTCTGCCTCCGACGATCAAGTTAGAACGTATCCGGATGTATAAAAGTGCGGAATGTAAAGGTTTTTCTCTCGGATTTCGAGAGAATTATGCAATTAATATTGCTCGGGTTTTGTGTGTATATTTATGAATCATGTAATAAATGAGGATTTTCCTCTATTTATAGTGAGAGGAGATCGGTTCTCCTTTCATTGGTTAGAGTGCCATGTGTCACCAGAGGGTTGGCTCTCTCATAACCTCTCTGATGCTGACACGTGTCAGCACGCGATTGGTCCACGTGGACAGGGTATTTTTACCCTAAACAAGAAGCATTATCCAAAATCAGTTTTCTTCTAAGATAGAGAGATTCTTAAGTTAAAGATAACAAACAAATAATTGAGGGTCATAATTCTTTCTAGTAACGGCTTTTAATAACATACATCATGTCCCAATCAATAGAATTTTACGAAATGTTTATCAAATGAAGTTTCTAGTATTTTTCATCGAGTGTGTTTGAGGAAATTCTTCCAAGGGCCTTTGAAAGGGAATTGCACCATATCCAATATGCACGATTTGCAAATATTTATAATACATTTTAAAAAAATCCTCTATTTACCCCTCTCCTAAAACCACCTAAGTGGCAATTAAACAAAATTGACCGAGTACCGGTTGTATGAAAAGAGTCTTCTTTTTAGATTTCTCAAGAATCAATGCCTGAAGAAGAAATATCCAGCACCTTTAATTGAAAGGTAGGGTCCTTTAAAGATATTTTGGTTAGCCAAATGAGAGTCAAGGAACAAAACTACAACTGTAATGTCATCATGGAAATGCCTTCGAACTCCTCGGTCAATCTTCTTAAGATCTGAATATCTCATTTCTCTTTTTTTTGCAGCCTCACAAAGTGCAGCTTTCACAAGCTTCTTTGCAATTCCCTATCACACAATAAGCTCTGTAAGTACATTCTTTGTTAGGGGGAAAATAAGAAAAATAAATAAAGTCTTCATTAAGTATTAACAATTCAATAAAAAGATGTTCATTCTCAATCATTTCTCACTCTCAAGAACAAAATAAGAGTAAAAGACAAACTAAAAAACTAATAATTTTTTATACATATACTTTTAGCCCCTATTAGGGTAAGAGGCAAGATAGGAAAAAATGAAAATTTTTCCTACTTCATGATTATAATCATGAAATTGAGCTAGAGTTCGTCCTATAAACTTTTTAAATTTTGGTTACAATATTATCGTGAAAAATGATCATGCTAGAAAAATAAAAATGACGTACATGTCGGGAACTTGTTTTCACAATGTCAACAGCTTCTTGGTTGCTAAGGTGCTCCCATAAGCCATCTGAAGCAAAGATAAGAAATTGATCTTCAGGAACAATCTTTTGCACTGATATTGATGGTTCAGCTGTCATGATTGGCCTATGAAAAGGCTCACGCAATCTAAACTTTGCTAACAGAGGTGATGTATTGAACTCAGTCTTCTTTAGATAGGCATCACCAATAGATCTTGAAACCTGTATAATAATAAACAATTATTTAATAGATTGAATCTAAATACACAAGCTAATCCAACTTCTAATTGGGTGGTCATATTAGAAAACACTTCTCCCCTCAGTCAATCACATTTATTATATAACTATGTTTATAGGAACTTCTAGAAATTTATGTCATGCCATTAACAAGAAATTTAGGTAATGTATGTATGATCAGTATCAGGGGAAATGATCTCATTACTAGCCTTGCTTAGCTTCCCTAAAACCTCAATTCCAACTTCAAAATTCAAAATAAAGCGAGCCAGGTCACAAAGAAACTTTCAAATTGCTACTACCTAGATATGAAGAGTTTTTATCTATTTAATTATCTTATTCAAATTAGCTAGTGACTAGCTCTTAAATGTATTCTTATAGAGCAAACAAAATTCGCACATGACCATGCCTCATATTTCTAACATCCCAAATTCATCTTCACACTTGGGATTGGCATGGAGTTTAAGAATAATATAAAGAGGGAATATTACAATTGAAATTGAAATAAGAAAGAAAAGAAGCAAGAGAAAGCTCTTGGAAAGAAAGAGGAAAAGATAGATGGGATGGATTTCCTAAAATAGATAGAATGAAGAGGATTGTTGGATTCCCCAAATCAAAACCGTGAATATGAATCAATATAGAAGAAGTACATGTATACAAAATTTGAAATTCAAATTTAGCTAGTTATTATTAAGGTTTTAGTGTCTACTGGTCTACTCTTTATTTCATATTCAATTTCCTTCCTTGTTTAGGCACATTCTCTTGACACATGGATGTTAATATACAGCTTACATCTTCTACAAGGACAAAAAAAAAATGATGATTTAGGAATAAAAGAAATAGAAATTTTACCTGTATAAGACCCTTTACACGCCAAACTTTTTGCTTTAAAACAACGATATGTGGATCGTCGGGATGCTTCAATCGCAACTCTTCTCTCACAGATTCATAACTTGCGTTATGCTCAGAAGATAACTGGATAGCTTTCACAGTTTTATCCAAGTTATCTAGCTTTCCTAGGACAACACGTGAATCACCAGCATTTGCAGTATAAAGATATCCATTACATATTACACCCACTAAACAACAAGCACCTACAGAAGCAATCTGTGGCTTTTCACGCCATAGTTCTTTCACTAAAGAGAGAAACTCCTCTTCTGTGGCCATAAACGCTTTCATGATAACATCAGCAGACATACCTTGACTATGGGAAGTGAACTCTGCACCAAGAATATTTGGAAAAAGTCAGTAAATCAAGGCATTAGCAAACCAAAAGACAAAACATTAAGGAAGTACTAAATCGAGCTAAGCTAAAATAATGTTTTATGGTCATACAACAAATTGGAAAGCATAATGAGGTAAGGTTTGTGAAAAGCCATACTCTTAATGTTCTTGAAGAGATTATTGCAGACAAATCTAGCTGTTTCTGGACCTCCATGACCATCATAGACACCCACAAATGTCCCATGAGGGCCATTATCAAGTGATCCCATGGGACCCGACTCGATTTGACTATGATCCTCTAATAAACTATTTGCTTGAACAACGGCCATAGAAAATTCACCATTTGCATGGTTCCCAAAATCTTTATGCCATAAAAGTCCGTCGAACCGACCATTAGAGTCTTTACTAGAACTCTCTCCTTCACCAGAAGGCTTCCAACAAGGGTAAACAATCCTCATAAGTCCTGCGGTGACCATGTCTTACATATCTCAACCAAATGATCCTGCTATTGATCTATACATAGAACCAAAACCAGTGATAATATAAAACCCTAGATTCAGTAATTGTGTTTCTCCAATATTTAGACCTCGAACATAATGTCGAGAACTTAAAAGCAAATTGAGATCTTCAAACACCATATATCTGTATATAAATTAATACATTAAATAAATTAATAGACGTACAAAGATAAGATTAGAACTTTTCAAACATATAACCATCCTCTGCATTAAGTTACTCATCATGGCATGTTCTTGATAATAAAACAGGCTACTATAAGCCATAATAAGAGCCATATAAAACCTACTAGGATTCATAGAAAAAAGACGTTTTGTTAATTAAAACCCAATCCCACTTATTTTTATCTAGTAGACAGGTCTTTGAAATAGAATGTAAATTTTGGATAAGCTATTGAAAGAGGATACAATGTGCATTATGGATAAGCTACCAAATGAAGGAATGTTACCGCAAGCAAAACTCCTTATGTTCCATAGTATGCCATACGGTTGAAGAGCATATATCCTAATTGATCAACTCAATTATAAATTAAAAGTCTTAGTTAGGCATACACATTTAGCTAGATCTTAAACAAGAAAACAATATGATATTTCTAAAAATGCTGTTAGACATTTAGAGTGTATGTGGGGAGAGGCCTCTCCAATTAAAGGAGAGGCCGCGGCTGGGAAGCCACGGAAAGCCGCGCCCGCGGCCTTATGTGCCGCGCCCTCTCCAAGGGCGCGGCCAGGCATCTCCAAAATTTTGGGGGTGAACCATGTTCACCCTGTCCGTGCCCGCGGGTTGGGCTGCCGCGACCGCGGCCCAGGCACCCGCGCCCGCGGCCCTCGGGCGGTTGCGGTTTTTCGATCTTTTATTAAAAGAATCGATTGAGAGATGGAAGAGAATAATCAGTTTTTCTCTTTTGCTCTTCCTCGCCAAGTTTCTTCTCCACACTTTTCATAGAGAAAACTTGCAATCTTCTCTTTGAAAACTCTTGAAATTTAGCCTTCCTCGTGAATTATTCATCGTATTTTCGATTTTAGTGCTAAGAATGAAATTTCTGCCAATTGTATCTCAAAGAGGATTTCCGGTTTAACCCAAGCACCGTGTGGGGGAAATAAACCTCTTTAGGAAAGTGTATACACGCTTTTGACAGTGTATCAAGGTTTTGAGTCTTACGGAACATTGTTATTCTCATGTTCATGCTCGTTGGTGTCGGCTTGGAGGAAAGGCAAGTTTAATCTCATCACACTAGTGTAGTCTTTAGAAATTTCTGTAATTTCTTAGTTCTAGCTTAACAATACTTGATTGTAATACATTATATTGTATTTGATTTTACAATTTATTTTGTAATCATATAATTTAGGTTTTGTTTCCACACAATTTTTAAGTGTTTTCTTTTATTGAAATCACTGAAGACCTAACAATCTAAAGAGGTTTACTTTAGAATTTAATCAAGTATATCTAGTGTGAAGGAATTGACTACTAATTTTGTTAAACTTAAAAAGTTTGATGGTATTGAATTTCGGAGATGGAAGAAGAAGATGTATTTTCTTCTTACATCTCTGAATGTTGCCTATGTGATAAGTACTCCAAGGCCGGATGAACATGAGAATGAAACCTTGGAATCCGTTCGGGAGAGGTCGAAATGGGACAACGATGATTTCATATGTCGTGATCACATCTAGAATGGGATGGAGGATGATCTTTTTGATGTCTACCAAAATATAGAATCTGCTAAGGAGGTTTGGGAGTCCTTGGAGAGCAAGTACATGGCGGAAGACGCTTCAAGTAAGAAATTTTTAGTTAGCAATTTCAATAACTTTAAATTTGTTGATGGTCGGTCCATAATGGACCAATTTCATGAATTACAACGCATCTATGGTAGCTTGGAACAACATGGAATAGCTATGAATGAGTTGTTTGTTGTTTCTAGTATTATAGACAAATTACCCCTAGTTGTAAGAATGTTAAGCATGATTTGAAACATAAGAAAGAGGACATGACATTGTCCGGTTTGGCCACCCATCTTCAAATTGAAGAAAGAGGACATGACATTGTCCGGTTTGGCCACCCATCTTCAAATTGAAGAAGGGATTCATGCCATGGAAGGAGCTAAGAATGGAAATCCTAGCACATCTACCGTTAATATGGTAGATGAAGGAAGAGCTAGTGCATCTACTAGTGGAAAGAGACAGAATGACAATTCTTTCAAGAAAAAGTCTAAAAAGAAAATGACAAGTAACAAGTTTACTTGTTGGGAATGCGGTAAAGTTGGTCACCGCAAGAAGGACTGTTTTTATTTCAAGAAAAGAATGGAAAAAGCCAAGGAGGGCCGTGCTACCGAAAGCAAGGACCCATCCACCAAAGGTAATTCATTTCATGAGGTTGAATTTAATTCCGATTTGGATTTAAATGCAACGGATCCTAACATTTTTATGGTGCAAGATGTTGACTCATGGTGGATTGATTCGGGGGCTTCAAGGCACGTGTGCAAGAGTAAACATTGGTTCAAAACCTTTCCAAAGGTTGTTGATGGAGAAGACCTCTTCATGGGGAACAACTCTACCATCAAGGTTCTTGGAAGAGGACAAGTTGAGCTTGTGTTTAGTTCGGGGACTGCAATTATTCTTAGGAATGTTTTGTATGCTCCGAAAATTAGTAGGAATCTTGTATCCGGGCCTACCCTGAATAGTCTTGGCTATAAACTTGTATTTGAAGCTAATAGATGCATAATTACTAGGGGTGTAACGTTTATTAGTTGTGGTTATTTGGATAATGGTTTGTTTAAACTTTCATTGAGAGAGAGTGGTGTTATGGATAATTTATGTTTGAATGTTGATGTCAATGATAATCATGTTGATTTGAGTATGTTTGACTTATGGCATTCTAGGTTAAGACATGTGAATTATAATAAAAAAAATTTCATGTCAAAACAAGAATTGATACCTTCTTGTGATATTTCTCCTAATAAATGTTCTACTTGCATGTTAAACAAGATCACTAGAACTCCTTTTTAAGAGAGTTGAGAGAAGTTCTAATATTTTAGAACTAATCCATAGTGACTTGTGTGATTTTCATAGTACTCCTTCTTTGGGGAACAAAAGATACATGATTACTTTATAGATGATTTTTCTAGGTTTTGTTACGTGTATCTTTTACCCTCCAAAGATGAAGCTTTAATAAAGTTTGATATTTATAAAAGGGAAGTAGAACTGCAAGTAAAATCATTAATTAAGAGAATAAGAACTGATAAGGGAGGGGAATATTATGATCCAGCTTATTTCCAATCTTTGGGTATAATTCATGAGACTACAACAGGTTATGCACCACAATTAAATGGTGTAGCTGAAAGGAAAAACAAAACTCTTGAAGAAATGGTTAATTCCATGTTATCTTACTCTGGTTTGAGTGAAGGGTTCTGGGGTGAAGCAATGTTGACAGCTTGTCACATTCTTAACCGAGTTCCTACTAAGGGAAAACAATCTACTCCTTATGAACTATGGTACAAAAGAAAAACCAAACTTGAAGTATCTCAAGGTTTGGGGTTGTAGGGCAATCGTAAGAGTGTCTAGCAACAAGAAAAGAAAGCTCGGTGAAAGGGGCTTGGATTGCATATTTATAGGTTATGCTGAGCATAGAAAAACCTATAGGTCCTATGTAATAGAACAAAATGACTATATATCAATTCATTCGGTTATTGAGTCAAAAAATGCAATTTTTGATGAAAATCGGTTTTCATCAATGAGTAGACCGAAAGATCTACAAATCAGTGCCAACAATAGGGAGATAGTAGAGTTGAATGATCAACTTGAAACTCATGAAAGTACATTCGATAGTGAGAATGTTGAAACTCCTCAAGTTAGGAGAAGTACTAGGGAAAGAAGACCTAGAAACCCTCTTGATGACTTTATAATTTATTTAGTTGAAGGTTCTAGGGATGTCCTTAGTTCTACTATTCCTTATTGTTTTAATGTGGATAGTGATCCAAAGACTTATAGCGAGGCCATATCTTCTCAAGATAGTGCATTTTGAAAGGAAGCTATAAATGATGAGATGGATTCCATCATGGGAAATAATACTTGGGTATTAGAGGATTTACCTCCTGGTTGCAAATCTCTTGGTTGCAAGTGGATTTTCACTAGGAAAAGGAGACCGGATGGCTCCATAGTGAAATTTAAAGCCAAATTGGTTATCCAAGGCTTTATGCAAAAGCATGGTGTTGATTATTTCGATACCTATGCACCGGTTGCAAGAATTACCTCCATAAGGTTATTGATTGCAATGGCTTCGATATATAATCTAGTGATTCATCAAATGGATGTCAAAATGGCATTCCTTTATGGAGATCTAGAGGAATAAGTGTATATGAAACAACTCGAAGGGTTTGTTTTGGAAGGACAAGAAGATAAGGTGTGCAAATTGGTTAAGTCATTGTATGGACTTAAACAAGCACCAAAACAGTGGCATCGGAAATTTGATGACACGATGTTGTCCTTTGGATTCAAAGTGAATCAAGCTGATAAGTGTATATATAGCAAATTTGATGACAAAGGTCATGGTGTCATCATTTATCTATATGTTGATGATATGCTTATCTTTGGTACAAGTATACAACAAGTAGAATTGACCAAGGAATTCTTATCCACATCTTTTCAGATGAAGGATTTGGGGGTGAGAAGATGATCAAACGGTTTAATATGTTTGATAAGTGTCCCGTGAACACCCTCATGGAACCTAATGTTAAATTGGTTAAGAATTCGGGGAAAACGGTTTCCCAATTGGGATATTCAAGGATCATTGAATCCTTGATGTATGCCATGACTAGTACAAGACCGGATATTGCGTTGGCTATAGGGAAACTTAGTAGATTTACTAGTAACCCGGGTGTACAACATTGGTTTGCAATTTGGAGGGTCTTGAGGTACCTTAAAGGTACGTTAGACTATGGTCTGACTTATAGTGGATTTCCTTCGGTTTTGGAAGGGTATTCGGATGCTAGTTGGATCACTTACAAAGAGGATGACTCTTCTGTTAGTGGTTGGGTATTCATGTTTGGGGGAGGTGCCATTTCATGGTCTTCCAAGAAACAAACTTGCATTGCGGATTCCACTATGACAGCGGAGTTTATTGCTCTTGCGTCTGCTAGTAAGGAAGCTGAATAGTTGAGGAATCTCATGATAGAATTGCCTTTATTGCCTAAGCCAATGCCACCGGTGGCAATCCATTGTGATTCTAATTCGGCGTTGATAAAGGCATATAGTCAAGTGTATAATGGTAAGTCTCGGCATATTTCACTTAGGCATAGCCTAGTGAAAGAGCTTATCAATGATGGGGTCATAAGTCTTGACTATGTTCCAACAAAGTTGAATTTGGCAGATTGCTTTACAAAGGTAATTCCAAGGCATTCCATCATATTTGCTATGAATGGAATGGGTTTATGTCCAAAAACACGAATTTGTGAAACCCAATCTAACGCTTGAAGAAACATCAAGTCTTAGATTCAATGTGGTTGAATTGCATTTTTGTTGTTTGTTAGCAATGTTTGTGACCCATATTGCTATGTTACTTGTAATGTGTTTAGGTAGCGTCTATTTAAAGTTCTCAAAGATTTAGATTTAAGAAGCTCTAAATGAAAGTGTCTTATCACAAGGGCATCATAACGTATATGAGAACCTACCTATATGAGTTCGAAGTTTAGCCGCTTCAAGAAGTCTAGATGGACATATAGACTTTGATGAACTTATGAAAGATACGGACACATGGCTGTTAAAGGTGTCAAGTGATGACTAATTCGATTTGTCTTGTGTGTACTTCACCTTCGAATGGTTGGATATATCCGTGTGATTTAATCCATATGGAAATCATGAGATATGATCATCGTTAAGTGTGTTGTACTAGGTGTCAATTCAATCTGAAGGGACATTGGCATTGATGCATGAGATGTGGCTAAATAGATAGAAGTGGAGAAAGTTTTTAAATTGTACACTCTAAATGGGGGAGGATTGTTAGACATTTAGAGTGTATGTGGGGAGACCCCTCTCCAATTAAAGGAGAGGCCGCGGCTAGGAAGCCACGGAAAGTCGCGCCCTCTCCAAGGGCGTGGCTAGGCATCTCCAGAATTTTGGGCTTCCGCGCTCGCGGCCCTCAGGCGGTTGCGGTAATTCGATCTTTTATTAAAAGAATCGATTGAGAGATGGAAGAGAATGTTTTTCTCTTTTGCTCTTCCTCTCCAAGTTTATTCTCAACACTTTTCATAGAGAAAACTTGCAATCTTCTCTTTGAAAACTTTTGAAATTTAGCCTTCCTCATGAATTATTCATCGTATTTTCGATTCTAGTGCTAAGAACGAAATTGCTGTCAATTGTATCTCAAAGAGGATTTCCGGTTTAACCTAAGCACCGTGTGGGGGAAATAAACCTCTTTAGGAAAGTGTATACACGCCTTTGACAGTGTATCAAGGTTTTGAGTCTTATGGGACATTGTTATTCTCATGTTCATGTTCGTTGGTGTCGGCTCGGAGGAAAGTCAAGTTTAATCTCATCACACTAGTGTAGTCTTTAGAAATTTCTGTAATTTCTTAGTTCTTAACAATACTTGATTGTAATACAATATATTGTATTTGATTTTACAATTTATTTTGTAATCATATAATTTAGGTTTTGTTCCCACACAATTTTTAAGTGTTTTCTTTTATTGAAATCACTGAAGACCTAACAAATGCCATTCATATCTTAGTCGAATGAATAACGATGAGTACGTATTACACTCAATTAACGTATTCTTTCTTATTTTCAAGGTGGTTGTTGCATAATAATATAGACTTCCATAATTTACATAATTTACAATATTTCAGAATATTCCTGCACAAGATAAAATGCCCAAAATGACATGACAATGTGCTCTTCCTCAAAAGCTTGTAAATTAAAGCAAATGTCACCCATTGTAATTAAAATGGTAGATTTGTAAGACCGTCGAAGATTTAAGAGAAGTCTCGTATGACTATTGAAATTTATAAGACTACCAAAGTTTTGTTTGCGTAGTCATGTATGATTACAGAAAAATATATTCAATAGTCTTACAAAACTATCGAAATATATTTTAGGCACTATTTTCGGTACTTATGCGATGCTACAAAACCTTTACTAGAACAACATTTCAATAATCTTGTAACACTACAAATAAAAAAAAAATAATAATAATAATTGAATAGATAATCTTGCCATAACCGTGTTTTTATAAAAGCTAGAAGATCAATCTAAAAAAATATCGTACTATAAGATTATGGGATTTATAATCAATTATAAGGATAATTAAAATTGGAATTTGAATTGTTTAAATTTGTTAATGAACCTGCACTTAAGATCCCTCAAAGAAAATCTACAAATTATAAATATGGTTATAAAACAAAATGAATAAATATAAAAAACATCAATGTCATTTGTAATTGTCAATTATCTCGTTTTACTTACTTCCTCCGTTCTATTAATATTGCAACAATGGACTTTTTGCATTATTCATTACTTTTGTTTGACCATATAATATGATTTATACGTTAAGCATGTGGGATCTTGTTGGATTCGTCTCATAAAATACTTTCACAATATCAACTTTTTATAATTTTTACTCTTACACAATTATAGATATTTAGCATATAAAATGTGTTTTTTCATCCTTGTTGCAGTATTAATATAACGAAGGAAGTATAATTTAAAAACTCACATCAAATAGTAACCAAAAATAAAAAAAAAATAATAATAACCATGATTAAAGTGATGCAGTCTTACATGTTATTATAATTCAATCAAAATCAATTTCGAAAAATCCAAGAGAATAATACAACAGTCAATCAACAAAGAAATAAAAAAGAACAATCAAAATACATACATGAAGAATGACCAAGGATTGAAAGATTATTTGAAACATACCTTAAAAATCATACAAAGATTGAATTGATATAAACCAAAACCCTTTTTTGTTTGATCTGCCAACTTGATTATCACCCAAAACAATGAAAATCCGCTCTAATTATATAAGTTGATTGTTAAAATAAGTAAAAGTTTGTTATTAAAAACAGGTAATAAGAGAGAGAGAAAGGAGGAAAAGAAAGAAAGAGGGAAGACGTGAGGATAGAGAAAGGTCTTGATTTTTGGTGTTTAAAAGTAAAATGATTTAATTAGAGTATTTTTTAATTTTGGAAAGTTTTAATTTAGTAGAAATATTTTATTTAATAAAAAAATATTTGGAAGTGAATAAATAATTGGGAATTATAAGGGGGGTTTAAATTTGACTTTGACCAATAAAAGAACAATAAGATAGGCAACTTTTGCTCGGTCTCATTTTCTCCTTTTATAGCAAAACCAACCGAACATGTGCTCATTTTTTCTAGCCTTTCACAAGCTTTGTAAAATGTCTAAATTTTGAAAAATTAGATATTTTTACCTTTTTTGTATTTATATTGACGTTAGGTATTCATTTTTAAATTGAAGATTTTGTGTGAGATTTTTTGGAGGTTTTATTCTACATGTTTTACTTGATATGTGTATCTGAATACTTTGAATATTTATAGAGGATTACCATTTTAGGAAATTAAAAAAAAAATTATGACATATTAAGTAAATCAAAATTGGATGTGATAGGAAGATTTAATCAAAAAAATAATGATAACTAGGAAGATTTATCAAGTAATGTGGAAATATTTAGTAAATACCAAATATAGTCTTTACTCATAGTATGAGATCACTTTTTTTTTTTTTCTCATATATGATTCATTTTTCTCTTTACCTTTTTGGTTTATTTTTTTTTTATTTATTTTTTTTATTATTTTTTTTTTATTATTTTTTTTTGGTTTTTAAACATAACTCTATTATTCAAGCCAAGTGTAGATATAATAGTGTCAACATGAACTATATTAATATAATGTCAAAATTAACTAAATAACAAATTAGTTTATTTTTAATATAACTCAATTGTTATGATTTTTTTTTCTCCCATTTTCTTGATATATATATATAATTGTATTGCTTAACATTTAATCAAGATTAATTTAAAATTTATTGCAATATACTATTAAGATATATGGAATTATTAGAGATAAACTATCTCAAATAAAGGAAATCATTCAAACATATATTAATATTGTCATTTTAATAAGAAGAAAAGATCAATATAACAAAATTTTATGTCTCAAAAATAGCGGGAAAATTTATTTAATAAAAAAATATTGTCATGTTAACATCATCTAATAAAAGTTCCACAAGTCTTGCTTCAAAAAAAAAAAAAGAAAAAACGGTTCCACAAGTTTAATATATATGTAATACATATTTAACAATAAGATTTTGTACTTTCAATGTTCTTCTTATCATAATTCCATTCCTTTTATTTCTTAGTTCCATTGAAATCTTTTATTTTAAGAAAGAAGCTTAAATATGATAAATTTTTGTTAAAATATGATAAAATAAAATATATTTATCTGATATCTAATTAGATTTGTTTTTTTTTTTTTCAAAATATCGATTTTTTAATAGTATTTTGTCATGCATATTTGAAGATATATTTATTCATTCATGTGCATTAAAAACTGTGCAAAATGAAAAGTGAGACAAATAAAAAGGGACAAAGTCATTAGTATACACATACATGCACAAATGGTATTAGATGCAAAATGTGACTAAAAATATATTATGTTGCTTTGTTAAAGGTGTTATTTATTCAAATTGTTGTATAAATGAATTAAAGGTTATTTTTAGGACAATATAGCTTTCTTTTGTTACTCTTATTAATTTCTCAAATGTTGACCAATTTAATTATTGTTCAACATGATGTCCTAATTGATGGTTAACAATAAAATATTAATCAATGACACATACATTAGACAAAATAACAGAAAAAACTACCCAAAAAGCTATCAATAAATATCCTACAATGTTAAAATCATTATATTTATATGAACAATTAAGCAAAAGCTTTGTTTCATGGTGGAAAAGTAATGCATATTGTATTATATCAAATTTGACAATGAAATTAATTATAGCTAGGAATATCAAAGTGAGTGATGATGCTAACGACCACATGAAATATTGTCTATAATGCCCTTAACCTTTAAGGTTTAAAATTAAAAAAAAAAAAAAAAAAAAAAAAAAAAAAAAAAGGCATGAACGTACGACGACTCATTGATTAGTAAGCAGTAGAGACAAGTAATAAAGATCGAGCAAGTCTAATATAGTAGCAGCTACAACATCCTTGGAACTGTGGAAGTATGTTATGAGGTAATGAGGGTAATGTGTATTATGTTATTCTTCATAAAATGTTTAATTTAATAATTTGTATTTGGAATATTGCTTTAAAGTATATATTTGGTTTTTGAGATTGTTGAACTTTTATTGGCTCGTTGGGTTTCAAGTTGCTATAAATTAAAAGTTACTTGGATTCATTTTTTATTTTAATTTGAAGTTTTAAATTAATTAGTTTTGAAATAGTCTTCTATTGTATTTACTTTGGTAAATATCCTTAATCGTTATCAAGGAAAAAATTTATTATATAAGGGTATAAATAGGGTGTTACACATGATTTGCTTAGAATCTACAATTCTTTACTCTTGTTATAGTTAAGACTTATATTTCTCTAAATTCTATGTCATTCATCCCTTTCAAGAATTATCACTCAAAAGTTAATTGTTTGTTGCTTGACTTTTAGAATTGAACTCTTCAAGTTTATTTATTCATTTAACCTATGTTTACTTCTTATAATAAGAACTCAAACACATGTATTTTTTTTTTTTGGGTAATGATATATATAGCCCTTAGGGCTATGTATAAGCATTAAATATACTTCCTAAAATGGAATTAATGAGAATTTATGACAAAAACACGTGCAAATCGATGTAATTAATGTTAATTTATCCTCAATATTTCCTTTTTTAGCTTTTTATACATAGCCCTAAGGGCTATGTTTATCATTTTCCTTTTTTTTTTTGAAACCAAAACACATAGATTATATCTTTATTAATATTTGAAAATGACACAATAGATCTAATTTAAAAAGAAAAATTCCTGCTAGCAAGAAGATAGGTACACCCATCGGCGACCAAATTGTAATTTTCTTTTGCGCAACCTAGAATTTATGTGAATCCAACTAAGCCATATCATGCGATCAATAATACCTTTCTTTAATGTTAATCATTTGCACACTAGCCAGTAGCCACCATCTACCAAAACCATAAGGGTCTTTAAAAATTCTACTATGGTCATGCTTAAAATGATCATCACTGTTTTTAAATCCTATTAGTTAAATTTTCCTTTATTTTAAGGCAAATTTTTATGTGGCTGGCCACACCGCGTGGCCAAGGTTACTTATAGAGTGTTACTCGTTTGGTCTGTGGTTATTTGTATGGGGTTACTCGTTTGCTCAGGGGTTACTCGTTTGCTCAGGGGTTACTTGTAGGGGTTACTTATTCTGCGATTACTTATTTAGGGGTTACTCGTTTGATCAGGGGTTATTTATTCAAAGTTAGTCGTTTGGTTAGGGGTAAATTTATAGGAATACTTATTTAGGGGTTACTTATTCAAGGGTTATCCGGTCGGTCATGGGTTACTCTCACACAGAAAACGCACAAACCGACTAAGTAAGTAACCCCTGAATAAGTAACCCATACAAGTAACCCCTTAGTAAGTAACACATACAAGAAACCCCTGAATAAGTAACCCCTACAAGTAACCCCTGCCACACGGTGTGGCCATCCACACAGAAAAGTTGCTGTTATTTTAAATGTTTGGTCAAATATCTTTTTTAATTTTTTCTTTTTTTCAATTCATTTTCCTTTTTTTGAAAATTAATTTCTGATTTTTCAAAATATTTTTTTACTTTCATAATTATTTTATTAAAATCACTTTTTAATATAATTCAAAAATAAGATTAAATTTTAAAAATTAAAATCAAAAAATTGATTTTCAAGGATATTCATCTATGGATGAAATTAACAACCAATTCATGATCTTTTTCCCTTAAATTTATTCACGCATTGACGAAAATTGAACACATGCCCCGATCTTCACACTATCTGCGAACTTTTTTTGTTTTCGAAAATCAAGGTTCGTGCGAATCTGGGTTGTTGTTTCTTATTCCTAGAATAATACATTTTATTTGGACAATCTTTATCAAGGGATGCAAAAGCGGCGGTTATATGTATTCGAAAATCATAAATTTTCACTTTTTCGTTGATATGGGTTCGTGAAGCAAACCTTGGAAGAAATTGTAACATATTTTCTTCGAACCCTGTTGATCCAAAAAAACGAAGATGGAATTTTAAATCTTGTTTTTGTGTTAGGTTTTCACCAATATGCTAATAGAACATTACCTATAACAAAATATTTTATTGTTTATTCATCTACGACCATAAAGAGGTTGTTACCATATTGAATGCTATGATTATGACTTTTGTGATTATATTTATGTTTTCATCAAACAATTTTCATTAGATTATCAATACAATTTTAATTTAACTATTAATAATTAATCTGAATTACATTGAAGACTTTAACATGTTAATTATAATCAAAAGGTTATGACCGTATACATTATAGGTCATTACATTACGAAACGATATATGTCATGATGTATTTATTTGGAAATGTGATTCAACTAATTAAATATCAACGAATTGAACTAAGGCCTATGAATTGTTCATTTAATTTGGCACTAGCGTGATTTTTGCAAATTAAAAAATAGTACTATAATATTGTTTTCCAAAAAAAAGCTAATAAACAATTATATATATGGTTAACTTAACAATTAAAATCTAAATGCCTTTTTATTCACTACTAGAAATAGGCAAGATTTCGACGGAAAATAATTCCGTCGGAAATTTTGAAATTTCCGATGGAATTTTGGTTTGTAGGAGAATTCCGCCGGAAAACCTGAGTAGCGACGGAATTTCCGTCGGAATATTTTCGACGGATTTTTTTCCCTCGGAAACTGTAGCTTTCGACAGAAATTTATTTCCGACGGTATATTCCGTCGGAAGCTACAGTTTCTGAGGGAAAAAAAACCGTCGGAACTATTAAAAAAAAATGAAACAACGTTCTGATTTTTCCGGAAAAAAAAAAAAACCAGAAATAGAGTTCTTGGAAACGAAGAGAGAGAAAGGGAGAAAGAGAAAGAGGAAGAGAGAAGAAAGAGCAGGAGAGAGAAAGGGAGGAAGAGAGAAGAAAGAGGAGGAGAGAGAAAGGGAGAAAGAGGAAGAGCAGGAGGGAGAGGGAGAAAGTGGAGGCGAGAAACAGAAGGAGG